ATATATTTAAAATCTAAATATTACTGCATCTTCAGCTGTATTCTATATGTTTTGATACATAGTGCTTTTTACTGATAAGGTCAAATTTTGATGAACTATCTTATTCATAGGTAATGCTTTTGCTTTAAAGTCTATTTTTTCTGATAGCAGTAAAAACATGTTTCTTTACTTTTTGTTTTGTTATGTTTTGTTTAGTTTAGTTTAGTTTTGTTTGATACAGGGTCTCACAATGTAGCCCTAGGTGGCCGTGAACTCACTATGTATAAAAGGCTTTCTTCAAACAACACACAGAAATTCACCTGCCTCTGCCTCCTGAGTGCTGCTATTAAGGACATGAACCACCAGGCCCAGTTTACTTTAATTTTTTTTTTTTGAGTCAGGGCCTCAAACTTGCTGTGGGAAAAGGCTGTCCTTGAACTGATCTTTCTGCCACCACTTCCCAATGGCTGATATTATAGGCACGTGCCACCATCTCTGGCAAAATAGTCTTTTTTTTCAGTACTAAGGATTGAACTCGGGGCCTCATGCATGCTATGCAAGTGCTCTACCACTAAACCTTATCTGCAGCACTATTTTCCCTTGGATGTTGGCATAGAGCTTTTCCATTCCTTAACTCTCAAACTTTCGGTGTCATTAAGTTCTAGTTGTGCCTTTGTAAATAATATATAGTTGAAGGTTGTATTTTTTACCTAATAATATTTTCATTTTAATGAAATAATTTATTAAGTTATATTGTTTTGTTTTAATTTTATTGAGCTTTTGTACATTTCATACAACAGTTCTTAGTCAAATTCAGACCTTATCCCCCGTCAGACACAGAGACTATACACCCAAGAGATGCCCAGCCCTTGGTGACATATCTACTGTGGGACCTCTACATTTAAGACTCATGGAATATAGAAGAATGGGAGGTAGAGAGAAAACTAGAGCACCCCTCAACTCTCACCAGTGACACTTCATTATACAACATAGTGTGAGGCACACAAAAGGCCATGATTGGCCAACTTTTAAATAGTAAGAGACTACAGAGTGTGTGTCCCTGGATAGGACTCCTATATTATATTTACTGAACCATTGAATTAAGTGTTTCTGTTTTTAAATTTATCATTTTTTCCTAACTATTCTTTGTTTCTTTTCTCCCTTTTCTCGTCTTTTCAGATAGATTGAATATTTACAAAATCATTTTGCCCTCATCTACTACTTAGAAAGATATTTGTACCATTTCTATTCTTCCAGTTTTCCATGCTGGAGACTGAACCCATGGCTCATTCTACCACTGAACTAAACCCCCCAATCCCTCCTATGTCTCTTCTTTAATAACTGATATCAATATTATAATATATTGACAGTTGGGCATGGTCTCTCTAGTCCTATGTGGAAGAATGAGGCAAGAGGATCATTTGACCCCAGCCTAGGCAACATAGCAAAACCATACCTCATCCCCAAAACATATATCGACTCAACTTTTCCATACTTAAAGCTAATCAGTAGCTAATTTTATTTTAGCCTAATCTAGGATAAATACAAGGACCTTGGCAGACTCAAAAAAATTTTGTTGAGACAGGGTCTCATGATACAGCCCTGGCTAGCCTGAAATTCTCTCTATACACCAGGATGGCCTCGAACACACAGAGATCTGCCTGCTGTTGCCTCCCAAGTGCTAAAATTAAAGGTGTGTACCAACATACCTGGCAGACTTTAATTTTTAAATTCTATTATTTTCATCTCTACATTATCTTATCTATTTCATATATGTGATATATATATATATATGCACACACATATACATATATCTGCTACATGTTTTAAGGGTTCTTTTGAGACAGTATCTCATGTAGTCCAGTATGGCCTCAAACTTTCTGTTGGTATGTAGCCAAGAATGATCTGATGATCTTGAACTTCTGATTCTCCTGCCTCTACCTCCCAAGTGCTGTAATTACAGGTATAGACAACCATGCTTGATTTTATGTGGTGCTGGTGATGAAACCCAAGATTTCATGCACACCAAGCAAGCACTCTACCAACTGAACTACATTCTCACCCCTGCTCTGTTTTTATTTTATCATATTTTTTCTAATTCCTGCAAGTTGTTATTATGTGTCCTAATTAGCTTTAACAATCAACTTGATATAGCCTAGAGTAACCTAAGAACGGAGTCTCAGTTGAGGAATTTCCAGATCAGATTGGCCTGTGGGCATATCTGTGAGGAATTGTCTTCAGTTGTTAATTGATGTGGAGAGTCCATTCCCTGACAGATGTTCTGGGGCTGTATAGGAAAGCTAGCTAAGTATGAGCTTGAGTGAGCCAGCAAGCAGTTTACCTCCATGGTTTCTGCTTCAAATTCCTGTTTGAGTTCCTGCCCTGAAATGACCCTTTTCCTTCCCTATGTTGCTTTTGGCCAGAGTGCTTTGTCACAGCTATTGAATGAAACTAGAACATTATTCTTTATATAGTCAAAGTTCATTAGGATTTACCAGTAAATAGTACCACCCTTAGAACTAGGAAACTGGGACCTTTGGAAGTGTCTCATGATTTAGAGGTTCCCTCACTAGGTCTTCTCTAGTTGTAACACTCTCCAAAAGACAAGAAGTCGGGCTGAAGAGATGGCTCAGTGGTTAAGTGACTCTTGCAGAGGACCCAGGTTCGATTCCCAGCATCCACATGGTGGCTAACAACCTTCTGTAATTCCAGTTCCAGGGGATCTGACCTCCTCGGGCACTGCACGACACGGGTCCACTTACAAACACTGTGCAGGCAATACACTCATACACAAAATAAAATTAAAATTAAAAAAAGATATCTGGCACAAAGAAGACATGCCTAACTGAAACACACCTCCTGTTTCCTCTCCCAACTCTTGCTTCTGGATCCTGTACTAGGAATCCAGGAATTCCCTATCCATGCATTCTTAGCCTAATTCCAGAACTTGAGCAGGCCTCTTCCCTACAGAAAGCCCTGATGAATGTGAGCAGATCCCTAGACCCAAGGAGTAGATACCTAAAGGAAAGGATAGATGATCAAAGGGTGCGTGCCTGTAAAAGGAAAATTGGATACTCCAACTGTTGTAACGCCTGAGTGTGCACAAAGCCTCTTGAAATTTGAGATAGAGCCTTACTGAAAGAGCAAGGGCAAACGGTACCTCCTTTTGAAATCTTGGCCTGTATCTTACAAGTGTTCCGGATGGGCCTGACCATTTTCTTTAAGCATGTTTGTTCTACCATCTCACAAGTTATGCCATCTTCCTGAATACATGTTTTAGGATTAATTTCAGTAGGGATTTCTTGGTGGAAAACATTACAGTTTTTGTCTGAAAATGCCATCATCTTGCCCTCATTCTTGAAAGGTATTTTATTTTCATTGCGAGTAGAATTTTCTTTTGGCAAATTGTAGGTAATATTCCACTGTCTTCTGGTTTCTGTTGTGGCTTCTGAGAAGGTGTCAATCTAACAGTTGCTCCTTTGAAGTTCAATGGTCTTATTTTCTCTAGGTATTGTCAAGACATTTTGGAAAGTCTTTAGGTTTTCTATAATTTCATTATGAAGTATCTCAGTGTAGATCTCTTCTTCTGTGATTATTGTGATTGAGATTCTTTAGGCTTCTTGAATTTGTACAGTAATGTCTTTCACCACGTTTGACTCAATTAGTCATTATCTTTTCAAATATTGAATTTGGCCTACCCTCTCCTCTTTGAGTTTCATTTATTTTTTATTTACTTTATGTTTCTTTTCTCAATACTTCTTTACTTTTCTTTAATACAAATGGGCTCGAGTACAATATGCATTCTCTCATGTATAGTTTTTTGGGCTAATGTTACACTCTGGAAAGCCATCAATATTATTATGTATTGCTGTATCAGACATTCAAACATCCTTCTTCCAGAGAGACATTGATATATTTTTGTGCAACTATATTAATATTGCCATTTGAATAAGTCAATTGAGAAATCAATAATATATCATTATGATCTGGGCATGCCAACTCACCCCTGTAATCCTAGCCCTTGTGTGTGTCTCTCCCTTCCCTCGTGGGCCGTTGGCCACCAATCCGTGAGGACAAAAGGAGCAGAGGCAACTAATGGGGTCAGGACAGCCAGTGAGGATGATGGAAAAAGCTTTCCGGGAAACTGCTTCAGTGAGACAGAGCGTCTGTTCAGTGGGGGTTGGGGGGGGATATAGGGTGGAGACGGTAGGCCAAGCTTCACCTGATAGGTGTTCATAGTATGGTTTATTTGAATGTGGCAGGAGGACCCTGTCATCTGGCTATAGTGCATTGCCTAATTATCATATAGAAAAAACCTGGGGGCAGTTTTTGTAGGTAACTATGCCAAAGGTCATGTTCCAAATAAGGCCAGGCATCTGTGCTTGGAGGCACTTTCCAAATAAGGTCATGCAGAGAGCAGGCAGCCTCCTCTGAGAAACGGAGTCCTCCATACAGTACTGAGCTCATTAGGGCTATCTGGACATGGCAGACTGCAACCTTAGCAGCAGGGTTCCCCAACACCCTTGGAAGACTGAGGCAGGAGGTTCACCACAAGTTCGAGACTAGCCTGGGCTATTTAATGAGTTCCAGGCCAACCTATGCTACAGAGTTAGACCCTGGCACACACACACAAAAGAGTATAAAGATTAAAGTGTTGAAGAGATGGAACAAATCAGACATTTATAATTTAGTAATAAATTGCGTTCATATATAATACAATTTATGAACTTTAAAAATGTAAGACCCCTTTTGAAGAAGTCATAGTCTATGACATTATTATGTCATGTCAAGGAAACACTCACTGTTCCTGATATGGCTGTGAATTAAATGACAGGATTCTTGAAGATGGCCAACTTTATTTGGAGACCGAGTAAACTGTGGTTTTTGTGTTTCTCTCTGACCTCACCACTTTAATCCCTGCATTGCCTGACTATACATGCTAGGTATAAAATCAGGATTTTCTGAATAGATGAATGGATGAATGAATGAATGAATGAATGAAGAGTATAGCCACCATTTATAGAGCATTCACAGTGCTAGCCGCTAAGCAGAGATCTGTTGCTCACTCATCATAGCACTCCTAGCAGGCTGATGCAGTTATCCCAATTCACTAAATGGGAATTTTAGCCATTGGAAATTACTTGTCCAATGACACACCATGTGAAAGAGCCAGAAGCTTGGAAATCATTTTCTCTAGCCTTTATCATGTAGTGTACACACTCTGTCTTCACCTTTGCAGAGTTGCAGTGGTGTCTGGATTTATGGGTACCTTAGTCAGGAGTTCTGCTCACTGAGAGTACACAGCCTGGTCATAGTCACTTCCCCTCTGGCTATATAGAAGGAGAGTATTCAGTGGTCTCACTGCTTCCTTGCTGTGCTTCAACCCATGAATATGTTACTGGCTTCTTCCTCTCTCAGCTTCCCTGAGTGCTGACTGCCTTCAATAGAGTTGCTGAACTCCTCCACAGAAGGAGGACAGACACAGTCTTAGCATTTTCAGTTTCCTGTGTGCTGATTTCTCCCCAAGCCAGTGCCCCCTCTACCACATATATTTCTTCTCACTCACTCCCATTCAGCCCTGATGTCTTATCTAGTATATATTGAGTCTCAATAAATATTGATCGAATGAATAAATAAATGAATGGTAAATGAGGCTTTTAAATTCAATTCTGCTGTAAACTTCACCGTTTAGAAAATGTTGTTTCATTGATGACTAAAAGTATAAGCAAAGATAATAGAATAAGGTGCAATAAGGAAGAAATGTAGTGTAGCTGGCCTTTTATATTATAAGAAATAAATACTGTGGATTATTCAGAAGTTTCTGTGACTCCTTTTGATTCCTAACATAGTTTTTAACCATTCCTCACATAGTGGTAATAATTATGTATTAAATATTTTAGCTGTTAATTTCTTCTCTTGATACTTTGCTTGTATTTGTATTTCCCATAAATGCAGATGAACTACTGTGTTTATCATTTTGAATATATCTTAGTGAATGATCATCCCTTAATGAACATGTGTTTTGTTTTTTTTATAGCCATAGCCCACAAAGCATTGCTAATTCCTGGGAAGCATAATCATTTAAAGGAGGCAACATGGAAGTTGTCTTGACTAAGGAATGACATTTGAGATATTACTATGTTGGGATTATGACAGCTGTCATGATCTGTTGTACTCTTTATTTTATTCCAGGATGTTTTTATCTTGTGGGCAGTGTGGCCTTGTTGGCAGATCTGAAGAAGGTTTACCGATGCTCAAGATATTCCTTCTCATCATTTCTCTTCATGTCGATCTGGTTACATCTCTAAAAGGTAAGCTATCAGTTTTCCTTCTTGCCTTTATTTATTTATTTATTTATTTGTTTGTTTGTTTATTATTGTGTGTGCATGTACACAATGTCAGGGGGTGGCATGTGTACCATGTTACATGTGGAAGTTAGGACAAGATTGTAAAGTTGGTTCTCTTTCCACTTTTATGTGGGTTCTGGGGATCAAACTCAGGTTATCAGACTTGAGGAACAAAGTGTCTTTAGCCACCAAGCCGTCTTGCTAATCATTCTTTCTTTTATTTCTATTTTTGTATATATGATTTTTGTTGTTCAGAATTTTTTATTATAGTAAAATATGTTTAGTAGTTGCTATTCTTACATTTTTATATTTGTGTGTGTGTGTGTGTGTGTGCATGTGCGTGTGTATACACATGTGGAGGTCAGCAGACAACTTGTGAATTGGAGAGTTGGTTCTTTCCTTCTACCGTGTGGGCCCTGGGGATTGAACTCATGTCATTAGGCTAGGCAGCAGGCACCTTTACCCACTCAGCCATCTTGCTGGCGCCAATAGTTACCATTTTTAAGTGTACAGTTTGTTTGCATTATGTACAATCATATTTTAGGGGCACCCATCACCACTAGCCATTTGCAGAATGTTTTCATCATCCTAATTAATAACTGTGTTTATTCTCCATTTAATCTCTATTCTTTTTGCTTATATGAATTTGCCCCTTCCAGGGGCAAAATTCTCATATAAGTAGAAATGTATAATATTTACCCCTTTGTATCTGATTTGGTTCATACAGCATATTTTCAAGAACCATCTAATTGTAGTTATTCATTTGAATTTTATTCCTTTGAAAGGCTGAATATAGTTCATTGAATGTGCATGCATCACATTGTGTTTACTCATTCATACATTGATGGACGTTTTGGTTGTTTCTGCTTTTTGACTACTGCAAATAATGCTACTATGAAGATGAGTGTACACATATCTGAGTCGCTGCTTTGATTTCTTTGTGGTATATACCTAGAATTAGAACTGCTGGATCGTATGGTAATTCTGTGCTTAACTTTATGAGGCATTGCCAGACTGTTTTTCATAGTGGCTGTCTATTTCACATTCTTACAAGCAAAGAACAAAGATTGCAGCTTCACCACATCCTTAACAACACTTGTTATTTTCTTTTGTTTTGATGATAGAAATGAAGCAACATCTCACTATGGCTTTGATTTGCATTCATTTCCTTAATGATTAGTGATGTTAGCATATTTTCAAAACTTATTGGCCTTTATATACCTTATTTGAAGATATATCTATTTATATCCTTTTCATCTTTAAAATTGGGTTGTTTTGTTGTTGTTGACATTTTGTTGTTGTTGACTCCTGTTCTTTGTGTGCTATGTATATTAATCCCTTATCAGATAAATGATTTCTAAATATTTTCTATTTTCATTCTCCATAATGTCTCTTCATGCATGCAAGTTTTTAATTTTGACAAGGTCTAATTCATATTATATTTTTACTTCTGTTTTCTATGACTTAGTATCATATCCAAGAAATCATTGCCACACCCTATGCCAGGAAGATTTCTCTCTATGTTTTCTTCTAAGAGTTTTATGGTCTTAGCTGTATGTGCTTAAGTCCTTTGATTCACTGCAGTTAATTTTTGTGCCTGAGTCTATCCTATTTTCCCACTGTCATTTGTTGAAAAGCCTGTCCTTTTCCCTTTGAATTATCTTGGTACCATTGTCCAAAATCATGTGACCAAATGTGTGAGGGCTTGTTTTGGTGTTTATTTGGTATGACTAGTATCTACTTGAAGGCATTTCTATACATAAATTTAAAGAGAATGTAGCCAAATGAAGCAGAATTTTTTTCAGAATAGGGAATTTTTGGAAGCTTATTAATCAAGGGATGAAAAAGAAAGGGAGCAGAAAGGCCAGACGTATTAAGGCTTCAATCTCTGGTGTTTTATTAAAAAAAAAAAAAACTAGAATCTCAAAGGTTGTCCTCAGACCTCTACATGCATGCCATGTGCAGAAAGAAGGAAAGAAAGAAAGAAGAAAGAAAGAAAGAAAGGAAGGGAAGGGATGTAGGATGGAAAGGAAGGAAAGAAAGAAAAAGAAAGGAAAGGAAGGAAGGAGAGAGAAGGAAGGAAGGAGAAGAATGGAAAGGAAGAAAGGAAAGAAAAATAAACAAAAGAAAAAGGAAGGATGGAAGGAGAGAGAAGGAAAGGACAAAAGGAAGGAAAGGAAGGAATGGAAGAAAAAATGATGATGCTTAGTCTGCATTGATGACTTACAATGTGCCAGGTCTCTACCTCCTTTCCACTTGTCCATTCACTCAGTCCTCTGAACCAGACCTGTGAAGAGGAGATCCTAGTCTTCTCCCATTCTTCAGACCTAGAAGCTGAGGCTCATAGAGATAACTTGCCCATGGTTGTTAGCTCTTGGGAAGTGTTAGAGATGTCATTTGAACCCAGGAGTTTTTTTCTCAATTGTATGTTTGTAATCCCCAAACCAGGGTCCTCAAACATGAATGTGCACCAGAATTTCTCAGGGGGTCTGTTGAAGCACAGGTCACCAGGGCCTTGCCCCAGACTTTGTGAATTAGTAGGTCTAGGGCAGGGCCTGAGAACTGACATATTTAGCAAGCTCCCAGATGGATACTGATGTATCATCACCAGTCTAGGGACCACACTTCAAGAACCACTGTTTACACAAGTGATGGGAGACATAAGGAGGAAGAGAACATGCCTCCTGATAATTATCATGGTATATAAATCCTGTTGTGACCATGTTATGTCTGTATAAACTCTGCTCACATAGAGAATCTCCTTAGGATACTACCAGAGCACTGAGGGATTAGTAGGACAAAAATCAATCATCTCTACTGATGAGTTAATGTCCCCATGGACATTATTGATTAACAAGTAGCAGAGCCATAAGATGCCAGAGTTTCCATCTCATGTTTCAGTGCTTTTTTCCACCACAAAAAGAGGAGACAAAAATGAAAGCTTTGCATTAGAAATAAATCTTTTGAAAAATTATATTTTAAAATGATGGGCTGGGCATGGTGGCAATATGCCTATAATCTCAGGACTCAAAAAACAGGAAGGTTATGAGTTTGAGACCAGCCTGAACTACCTATTGAGACCTTGCCAGAAAATTTTTTAAAAACTCAAAAAAACTTGGCATGGTGGTTCAAACCTTTAATCCTAGCACTCAGGAGGCAGAGGAAAGCCGACCTCTGTGAGTTTAAGGCTATTCTAGCTTCTATAATGAGCTTCAAGCCAATCATGGCTATATACTGAAACCCTGTCTCAAAAATAAAACCCAATGGAACAAGAAGGAAGGAAGGAAGGAAGGAAGAAAGGGCAGATAAACAGGGAAAGTGCATGGCTATGGAGCAAACTTAAGTAGAAAAAGACTGAGAGACTTTGCTTAGAGTAGTTTATGTCGTTCTTACTCAGGCTCAGGCTTTCTGGTTGTATTGGACCAGCTTTCTGTTCCTGAATCAAAATACGTAACAACTTAGGAATTGGCTAGGGAGTTAGGGTAAAAAGACCCCAAAACAATGTACCCAGTTTCTGGGCTAAAAGTCAAAATGTCCTTGGGCCTGTTAGCAACATATTCTTTTCCAAATGCCAAAAATGTCAAAAGTATTTGGGAGCTTGTATCTAATCCTTAAAAGATTTTAGGGTTACCTCTTCAGAGGGGGAAATGTTGGAGGGGAGGGAGTGGGCATAGATTTGATCAAAACACATTATATATATGTACAAAATTCTCAATAAAGTTTTTGTAAAAGTTAAAAAAATAAACAGGAAAAGATTACAAAAAAAAATTACTGAAGACATGTGAGGCCTCGTCTGGCCAATACACTATGAGAGATGACACCATATGTCAGTTTGAGGTAGAAAGATAGAGGTGTGTTGAGATGCTAGCTTGGGTCCCTAAGTCACTTGGTGACCCATATTGGACATATACCAAAAATAAGAAATAAACTTTTGATGGAATAGGAAAAAAAATTAAAGAAGGAGTACATGAAGTTATCAGAAAAAAGTGATGGGGAGATATGGGAGGAGTTGGAGGGGAGGGAGTGGGCATGGATTTGATCAAAACACCTTATATGCATGTATAAAATTCTCAATAAATTATTTTTTTAAAAAGTGGAGAGATTTATTTTGGTTTGCACTTTTAGAACTTTCAGTTCATGGTCAATTCACCCCATCACTTTTTGTGTTTGTTGTCAGACAGTGTATCATGGCAGGGGATGGGTGGCAGTGGAAACCCATTCAACTCATGGTAGGATGAAAAGAGAGAGAGGAAGAGGAAGCAGACAAGGAGTCTGCAGTCCCTTTCAGGAGCATACCCACAATGAACTCAACCCTCCCACTAGGCAGATTTCCATTACCCTCCAGTAGCAGAAATTGGGGACTAAGCCTTTAATACTTGGGACTTTAAGGGACACTCCAGATCCAAACTATAGCACCAGTGAATTGGTTTCTTAATGCAGTGGTTCTTAAGATGTGGACTGAAGATAGGTATGATTAGCATCACCTTTATCCTTATTAAAAATGCAGATTCTAGACCCTTCCTTCCCCGCCCTGCTGAGTAAGAAACTTTGGAGGAAGCCCAGCATTCTGTGTAGTAGCCAGGTCAGGTGATACATGCTCAAGAATAGAACCACTGGCTCAAATCACTGCCTAACACATTACTGCTCATAGTGTGTTCAAGCAGAAAGCTGAGGCGATCTGGGGTTAGACCCCCATATACCTTCTACTTGCTATGGTATGATCAAGATTTGCCACTTAACAAATACAAGCCTCCACCTCCCATCTTCCCAACAGGAGGAGCTGTTTTAAAGCTGTCTGTCTGTCTGTCTGTCTGTCTGTCTGTCTATCAACTCATGAAGGCAAAACTGTTTTCTGAATTAAGTATTTTGGGATTTCTGTTTTGTTTTGTTTCACTTTCTTTTGTTTTCCTTTTCGAATTTATTTATTTGTGGTGTGTGTGTGTGTGTGTGTGTGTGCGTGTATG